TATTATTTTGCCATTAATTCAAGACGTGAATGTATGTGGAGAGAATTTTTAATTTAGCCTTACTCAAAACCGCAAGCAGTTTTGACGTTGATTTTTGCTTCGAAGTCGGTGGCGAGGTGCTATTTCACTCTGAATAATCCGTGTCTTCGCGTCTGTTCTGCCCTGACAGAAGTTGACAGAGAGAGGAAAAGACATTTATCAACGAATTTCACGCAAACTACAGACCAAACACGAATTCGGATGAGTGAGCTGAAGTCATCACTAAAATCAAGTCACAACTGTTTCTGATGCGACCAAGTTAAGAGTTCCTTTGATTCTAGTTTTTATACAAAGTTAAGGGCAGAATGGCATTAAATCATAAGAGGATCCTTCGGAACCCATCTTCGCCTAGTTTATACGTGATGGAAAACAAAAGCTTTTCTAAATGTCTGAATAGGTTTATTGGATTTAAGAATGCATACTACTTATTTACATACAATAAGTAATATGATTAAGTTAGTTACCGAATTAATTATGCCATTTACGCGTTCACACCAGCCGGTCGGCCATGGCAGCCCAGCCCTTTGATGCACCGAAAGTTACCCGCCACTCCAGTAAATACAGGATGCACGGTTGCATTATTGGTCATAATGGTGTCTCCTGTTGTCTGAGAGGTAGAAGACTGTGTGGTCCATGCGAATCGTAATGCCTCAGCAAACACTATGTTCGTCACCGTAGCGATCAATAGAAGTAAAGCCCACTGAATCTGAAATAAAGTAGCAGAGGCAGCATAGTAAAGGGGCAATTTTAGGCTAATACACTTATTATCATAAAAAGAACAAGGGCCCATTTCCCTAGTTTTCTCAAGAGTTAATCCAAGCAACAGTCCATCTGAAAAATAGATATACCTTCATGGCGAATGAGCGAAAGAGAGTCAATTATGATTCATTAAACAAATACGAAAGGCTTTATATGTTTCTGGGATGGACAAGAACCAGTGACTTTCGTCATGTGATGGTTGCATTTAAACTTAGACATGATATTCGGTAACCCATTGATTCGCTCACGAGGCCTCCATGACTTTAAGAGTTCATCTCTGCGTCATGTTTGATTAGTTTCAGATCCCTCCCTTTCTATGAGAGCTTCTTAAACAACATTAGCAAAAATATCTTATTTTTCGCAATCTTGCAAATCTACAACGCGTAG